GCCACAACTTCTCGATGTTCTCGTTTAATGTGAGACACGACTCGTCTTTGGTTTGCAAGAAGTTCTTGATATTGAGATGAAGTAGTTTTCCGCGACTCAGTATATTCTTCTGGTAGTCTCTGAAGCCCTTTTCCCCCAATTGACTGGTTTTCAATTTCTTCCACTTATCCAAAGCGACGACTGATTGGACGGACATCGTTGAGCTGAGGATTGTGGTGACACTCGGGTAATACGACACGTGATTCAAGTCATGGTCTTCGCACCTCTTAATCGATTCAAACAATTCTTTATAATTAGTCTTCATTTGCGAAGAGTCCATGTCTTCATCCCTCACGAGTGGGAAGCTATCGATCGCACAATTGCTTAGTATTTGAGCTAATTTTAGCTGAGACTCACTCTTGAGTACAGATTTCGATTTGATTGTCGTATCTGTCGATAGAGTCCTTGCTTTAAGAGCGATGTCCGAAGTCTTTCTTATATTCAAAGATGGGATCAATTTGTGATAATTTGAATGCTTTTGAAGCAGTGGTTGGAAAAGAGTTTCATTTGTGGTGACTCCCGATGTATTCAACACTTGCCATGACTTAGAATATCTTGAAATTGTCAACAAAATGCTTGACCTCTTAAGTGACATCATATTGGATGTGATGATAAAGTGTTGGAAGAGTTGGAAGTGTTTAAAGAGACAAAAGTTGTCAATCAATTGCACACAAAGTGTTTGCAATGTTTTGAAAGTCGTCTGAAAGTGTGTCACGTGTTGTGTTCACAACCAATGGTTGCCTTCAAAGCCATAAACAGTCTCTCATTTGACGACTTCTTCGACACCAAAACAACTCTTCATTTCATTCAAAACAATGTCTTATTTGAAGACATTTCTGAGCCATTCGTTCAGCAAATTGGTTCCCAAGACATACATTTGTGGTGGAAGTGCCCGCCTATTGAGTGATGTCTCCTTCGTGCACCGCGAGACTGATGTCGACTCCAAGAACTTTGAATTCAATGCCGACAACAAAAAAGTATTGCTTTCCATATGTCTTGAATGACCACTCATTTGATGGTTTGAATGATAATGATGTGATTGTCTGCCATATAGAGAGCGGAAGCGATTGTCTCGATATATCCGGAAGGGTTCAGAAGCGCTGCCGTAATACCACTCCTGGATTTGGCTCAACGACAGTACGGATGGTTGCCATTGAAGGCCATGAACTATGTGGCAGACTATCTGCAAATGCCACGCATGAGGGTCTATGAAGTGTCCACTTTCTACACGATGTTCAACAGACAACCGATTGGCAAATACCACGTCCAGGTGTGCACAACCACTCCCTGTATGCTTAGAGGCGCTCAAGAAGTGTATGAATACACGAAAGAGTTGCTGAAAGATGAGAAAGACTTCACAGTTATTGAAGTCGAGTGTTTGGGCGCCTGTGTTAACGCACCTATGATTCAGATCAATGATGACTACTATGAGGATCTAACCAATGAAGATGTCAAACAAATTATCGCTGATA